GGCAGTCCTGGACCTTATGCCGAGTCCGTCTCGGAAGGCCTACACTCAAAAGAAGCACCTTCACACCCTCTTACGAAGCTTCCGCCAGAGTCAAGCCACAGACCCCCGAGATATGGTGTATGCCTTACTCGGCATCTCAGATCTTGACAGCGACATCATCCCAGACTACAACAAGCCCGAAGTACAAGTCGTCCACGAACTTCAATCGCTTCTGTTCTTCGGAGCAGAATTTGCTCGAAACCTAGGCCAGTTCGCGGCCATGCGGCACTTCCTCCTCGAACTCCCGGCCCTGACCGACAACGCCTTCAAGACCCTCATCGTCCGCGGCAGATTAGACGAGGTGGAGGAGCTACTGAGGCGAGGAGACACTTTCTGCATCACGGAAATGACTGCCTCTCTAGCAATAGTGGAAGCGGGGGGCATGATGCGAAAGCTTCTGGAGTTGAACCATCCAAATTTGACGTTCAGCCTGGATTGCTTCGACTACATGTTCAATTGGTGTAGTACTGAGACTGCGTCTCTGATCCTCAATCGCGCGGGTGAAGAATTGAGATTTATCACGTCAGGTATGGCCTTTGCGATGAGTGGTGGAGCCGAAGAGACTGAGGAAAGAGGAGGTATTTCGGCCTTGATGACGACCTGGGCGAGCACACGCACCATTTTAGTCACCCAGAAAGGATTTGAGACCTTTGCTGGGATGGGTAATATGCCGGCAGTTCGGAGGATATTGGAATCTGGGGATAAGAGCTACCGCGTCACGGTCGATATGCTGGTCATAATGCAGAGACAGGCCTCGAACGCGGTGAAAAGGCGCGAGATATTGGAGTGCTTGCTGACACAGAATGATGGTATCATTACAGTTGATGACGATGCGGTTGTTTGGATTATTGGAATAGAAGATGAGAAGATTGCCGGGTTTCTACTCCAGCACATTCCGTCGCAAAGTACCCCTCAAATCACCGCAGATTTGGTAGACGATGTTTCATTTCAAATGGTGTTGAACGACGAGTGGGAGCACACTACTGGCCAAGAAATGGCCGAGAAAATCACCAAAACCGTCCTTGATTGGGATCAGAGAGGTGTATTGAAGTTCACACCGCCGTAACAAGAACCCAATTAGAACAGCCCAAGTCTAAAATTTGCCCATTTTCGTAGCTTTACACGTGTGTTGCGTGCCCCTCGCATCACCTGATCCAATGCGCTCCTTTGACCTCCTCTTGTGTAGAGCCCTCTGTCTACTTTCGCCCTCCATCCATCCAAAGTCCGTCATGCACCCTCGGCGGTCTGCACATTCTTGTTTTCGGGGTTCGGCATGGTGTGAAGGTAGCGGGCCTTGTGGTCTTGAAGCAGCGTACTCGGGCTTGTCGGTAGCGGTCCATGACATATGATATATCGCATGTGTCTGTTGGAGAGCTTGTTAGATTTGCAGCGATGCCTAGGGATATTGCGCTAATACTGGCCTTCGGTACATGCGCCGTTTCAATCATCTACTACTACCAGGCTGTCGATTTGGAATCGGCCTTCCGGAGATGATGGCTTCGGTAGGTGAATATTCCAAGTTTACCTGTCATGATCTCTCAAATATTAGCAGCAAGCCCTGGAAGCATGAGAGGCGTTCAGAATGCCATCTTGGAAAACGTACCTCAACGAAATTGGGTTTGAGGGCTACGGTCGTCCTCCAAATGTGTCTGGAGAAATGTCAGCCTCTGGAAGTGTAGTGCAAACGGCACGATAGACAGACAAGCCGATGTTTACCGTGGGGCGTCCCATCTGTGGACTTTTGATATGCCATCTTGAAAGAACAGGGCATCTGTTGGTGACGATTTGACTTTTTGTCAAAACCGCTTCTCTGTGCCAATCCGGTTCTTCCAGAGAAGAGGCTGTGGGTGGTGTTGACATTGCCCAGAATGTGCGAAAGTGCTGCCAGTTACTTGCTAGGGTCAGCCGGATTCGGCTGCAACGCTCTGGTGCTGTGCTTTCCCTAATGATAGCTGCTTCAGATTCCTCGCAGGCTGCAGCACCTATTGGGCCTTGCCGCCTGTACTCGCGCAAGGTACCGGGAGCCGCCTAGTCTCGCCGTGGTCTTGCAGATGGCGACATGGGGATCGTGCAACCGTACTGGGTGCGTCTGCTTTGGGATAGACGCTGAAAATGGATGCTATTGGTTGAGTGAAGCTCGGTTCCGCAACATGGTTTGCTGCTCTTCCTCAAAGGTGCCGAGTCTGTGATGGTGTCGAACCTTGCACATCTTGGAATCTGGTTTTCGAACTGGCTGCCCTGATGCAAGTAAGCTCGTAGAAGATAGAATGACTATGCCGCCTCAGAGTCATGAAAAGTGTGGGTAAGGATGAATATGAAAACCGTCAGTCGTGTAGGCGACGAAGGAGTGGTGTTGAGAATAGCCAATGCCTTCCGCCCAGGAAATTGAGAGGAAGTCATTGATTGATACAGTAAATCGCAAATCTCTGCTGCCCCAGAAATGTTGCGATCGCTTTGTTTCGTTGAGGTGAAGTAGTAAGCCTCGCCTTGTCGGCGTTAGGTGTATATGTGCGTGTGGGTGGGTTTCCAAAGATGGAGAAACTCGGAATCTCTGCCGCCTCAGAGATATAATGTCATAGACAAGGAAACGAATGCATGTTCTAATCTTTGGCACGAAAGTGCCAAGTCAAGGAGAGTGGGAGTGATTGGGTCCAAGTGGCCAAGTCTCTGCCGCCTCAGAGACGAGCCGCAGAAGAGTGCATAGGATGAGGATTGATCTGCCGCCACAGATAAGATGCCGATCGTTGCATGTTGATGAATCGGACTGCTCTGTTATCGCGTTGAAGGTCCAGACGTGTGAGTGAGGTAGGGTGACATCTCCGCCGCCCAGGAGATGATGCCAATGATGACTTGGGTTATTCAAAATTAGCTAAGTCATTTTTCGCCGTCATAGACAGACGATGGGAAAGTAGGGTTTGATGGGTTGCGAATCTCTTCTGCCCCAGAGACTTGCAATGTGATTGATGTGGTTGGTTTGTTTGGCTTTCCAACATAGAAGACATTGAAAACACTGCCACGGGTTTGAAGAATTCTCTGCTGCCCCAGAGAAATTCATATGGTGTTTTTCGGTTGAACGATGATGCTTTTGTGCTATTTAAACACAGCGATGGAATCGTAGTATCTTGGGCCTCCTGCCGCCAAGAGGAGTTGAGTGTGAAGATTGGTGAGGAAGGCCTTCAACTAGGTTGAGAAGAGAAGGTCTCTGCTGCCCCAGAGACGTAGAATGAAGAAGTTTTTAGTGTAATGAAGGCCTGAGAAGTTCCATATTCACGCCCGTACTAGCGCGAGGATGGGAAATTGAGAATTTGTTGTACCGAACGAATTCGGGTCTTTGCCGCCAAAGAAAGTCTGTCCAAATTTGGTATGACACTGAATGATCCTTGCTGCCTCAAGGATGAGTTGTCGGACCGATATGAGAGAGGTCAAGTTGCTGCGCCCTAGGGACGACGTGATGGATGGTTGAGAAGTAATGTTGGATGGCAATGTGTGTCTCTGCTGCCCCAGATACTACACAGAAAGCCTCGAAAGGATTGTTCTGGATGATGAAATAGAGTCGAAGCTTTGAAGTTGCCCAGATCATGAAGGGTCGTGTGAAGAGAAGTGTGATCTTGTGGAAACGACATGTCTCTGCTGCCCTAGAGATCAAAGTCTGATTGTGTGAAATTTGGTAGTCTCTGCTGCCCCAGAGAGAAGGATAAGTGTGAAGGATTGAAGTGTTGAAGAATCAATCTCTGCCGCCCTAGAGAGACAAGAAGGAGTGTGAAGGATTGAAGTGTTGAAGAACAAATCTCTGCCGTCCTAGAGAGAGAAGAAGAAGAGTGAAGGATTGAAGTGTTGAAGAACAAATCTCTGCTGCCCCAGAGATCTGTCTGCCAGAGTTTCTCTGCTCATGAACGTAGGGTGCCTGTACTTTTCCAAGCATGCCAAGCGGAGGTTTTGTGAGAAGTTTTGGCCCGATGATCTGACTTGTGGAAGGGTCGCCAACCCTGTTCCAAGATGCGTATTGGGTAGCCGATCGAAGAAGCTTGTTCGTACCCAACGAAGAGATGGCATCGCCGTACCGTGTAAAAGTGACTAGCGTTCGAGATTTGCCAGCCAAATTTGATGTCGGATGTCGGAGTGTGGTTTCAAGGGAAGTGGTTTGATTTTGTGAAGATGTTTCTCAAGGTTGAAAGAAAGGTGATGATGGATCGATTGTCTTTCCCCAGAGACAATCCGTGATGTGCATGTTTGATCATGGGTGTGATGACGACCTCCCAGGACCCGAAAAGGATGTTGCAAGTACTGGGTTGAAGTGAAGTCATGAATGTTCCAAAAGGATATCTCCGCCCCAAGGAGAACCAAAGGATATGATGTGTGTCGTCGAGTCTCAAGTGCCCCAGTGATGTTGAGACTCGGAAGCATCAAGGTAGTGTTACCAAGATGACTTTGATGCTTGTTTGAGAAGGTCCGAGGCCGAATGCATTGACTAGCCATGGACGCGAGCGTGGAGTAAGGTTGAAGATGCTCCTGGATGGAATAGCTCGCAAAGTACGGATCGATTTGTGATGTGATGATTGATTTTCTTTGTGATCCGTTGTCGCGTCAGTTTCCCCATCTTCGATTCCCCCGAATCGCGATTCTGGGTACTGACACCTGACACCAACGTGAAGGTGCGACATGTCAGGCTGATTTTTTAATGAGGTTGACTCCTCGGTAACCACTTGGGAGGGCAGCAAGTGGATGGATGGGGGAAGGGGGGCGGGGCAGAGAAAATAATAGCCTAACCGGGGCGGCTTGCGGTGTTCGTGTCGATGGGCATGGGCGGCGAGGAACTGACTGGCCCAGAGGCCCTAGCGATAGAGGCGACCAGAAGAGAAGACCGAGAGAAGGGGCCGCGGACGGAACAGGAGGCGGACGACGGCGGACAATAGCGACGATGACGACGGCGGCGGCGGCGGCGGCGGCGGACGACGACGACCTCAAATATCCGAAGAGAAGGGGTGCTGGCGGCGGGCAGGGAGTGGCTGGAGCTCGACTTCCACACATGAGGCACGAATGGCCTCAGCCTCCTCAAGGAAGGCGCGGGAGAAGGGCAGGTCCGAGTCCTCGCTCTTGCCGTATTCCTGGACGTACCGTGGGACCACCCAAAACAAAGGCCAAAGCCAGAGACGGTCACCAAGAGCGGCGCGGAGGTTGCCGTCGGTTCCGAGATCCCATGGGCTGCGATGCGTGACATGGTGCTTGAATGATCCATCGGGCAGACGGATTACCATCGGCCACTCTGGCCGGCTGCGTCCACGAGCGTACTTGACAAACTCGCGGTGAGGCGAGTTTTGACACCCTAGCCGCTTCCATTGCTTCACAGCCGGTGCAAAATACACCCAACTGATCATGAGCGGGAAGGCGACAGCGAGAGCGACGAAGGTCTGACGCGAGGACTGGGACGGCAGACTCAGCGACCAGCCAAGGATGGCGAGGGCGACCGTGTGAAAAAGCGGGACGTAGATCATCACCAATAGGTAGGGCTTGATGGTGTACGCGCAGACCGCCGTCCACAACCACCAGCAATAGTGGTCATAAACAGGCAGACAGCCGATGACCTTGCCCTTGGTGGTGACGCAGTGATAACAGCGGTCGAGTATGCGAGGTCCCTCCTCCAGAAGCCGGGGTTCCTTTGTGCACGCGACGCAGAGATTGGGGCGGTTGCCAGTTCTCAGGTAGCGCAACGACATGAAAGCCGAGTCCCATGCCTGCATACAGGCTTTTGGACCGAAGTCCGCGAGCTTGGGCAGGCGGCGGCCTCTGTAGATCTGCGCAGCACGTATCCACAACGTAGCCAGCGTTCCAGCGAGGAGGAAGAGACAGGCGGAAAACACAACCAGCAGAGCGAAACCGGCGTTGCGATGATACACCGAAGGAGGAGTGACAAGGTCCTGTCTGGTGTACCAGGGCAGGATGAGGCCAACCACTAATAATGTTTAGTGCGAACCCAATAGTCAATAAACGACCACAACTTACGAATAAAGCGGTAGACCGCTACAGACGTGCCGACTAAGTCGAGCACAAGAAGAACTGGTATCCACTTGCAGAGGAACACCCAGGGCACTGCAACGCAGCGAAAAAGCCAGGAAAACGCCATGTTGTCGACAGCAGCGGCGGACGACAGGGCAGACCAGAGACGACGAAGGCGACGACGACGACGACGGGGAGCAGCAGAAGCAGCAGCAGAAATGACGACGACGGCGACAACGACAGCGAAGACGACAAAGGACGACGAAGAAGGCCGACGACGAAAGACGACGACGAAAGACGACGACGGAAGACGACGACGGAAGACGACGACGAAAGACGACGACGAAAGACGACGACGAAGAGCGACAGAACGAGAAAACAACGGCGAAGGCAGCGACGATGAAAGTTCCGGAGACGAGCGGGGCAGAGCTCAGGTGACAGGCGGAAAGCTTTTGAACACAAAAGCTACTATATTCGAACCAGTTAGTTGCGGCTTAGAGACAAGAAAAACAAGATTCACTCCAAATCGTGGGGGTTCGGACGTACCGTCGCGGGATCACGAAGAGAAGAAGAGAGGAAAAAAAAGCCAGGCAGGACGAGATCTAGAAATATCTACTCGCGTCCCCGGGGGAGGCGGGTGGGGCAGGACTGCGTCTCGCTAAACTGTCTGCCTGCTTCGAAAGCGGCAATCGCAGGTTGGAGGGGGCTTCCTTCCTTCCTTCTCGACATTGGTCTAGCACGGGTTGTTTGTAGGCAGGTGGCTCCTTCCCTCTCTCTTACCTACCTACACTCATACTGTCATGAGACCCGCAGGAGTCGGCAGTCGGATGGGGCTATGGGCAATTGGATCGCCTCAAAATGCAGGCACGATGTGGGATGTCATGGGTCTTTTTTGCATCTACGCTGAGGTTCTGTAGATCAGATTTCCCCGATGACGTTGCGTACCTTACGTATCTGTGTGTCTTGGCCAAGCGCCACAGGGCTCGTCAATGACTTTTTTTTTTTCAGGCCATTATGAACTCCCCAGATACAAATGCCCTCGCAGGTCTTTCTACTTCCAAAGAGGAACGGAAGGCAACAAGTCCGTCACACATTAGCAGATCGTTTGACCCCCGTTTCTTGGCCAGGCCCTGCCAGCATAACTGGCAGTCGCGGCGAGGAGTAGACTCACAGACGGAAGTAAAACCAAGACACAAAGCAGGATGGAGGAACAATAAACCTGATCTACTTAGAACCCCGCCCACGCGACGTCCCACATGCTATGGTCAACATGGCTCATGAGCGCCTGTTCTGCTTCCGCGAGGCAGTATGGTTCACAAGGGATGAAATGCGGGACCACTACTTGGTAGACGATTTCCCCCTAAGTCTTGGAGCATATCCTTTCCATATTCAAAGAAAGGCAAAAGACAAGAATGGAAGAGCAGAATGCAGCTGATCCGTACTATTCAATGAGACTGAAACTCGATTCTTACCGGGGACGACGCCTCTGACCTTGCAGGTAGACAGCTCAATGCGTTTCCTTTGCAGCTTGTCATATTATTTCTCCTTCATCATGCAGCTTGAAAGATAAAGGACGCAAATATTTTTTTTATTTTTAAATGCGTTTTTGCTCTCATTCCCACCCGATCTGGGCGCGTGAGGTTGGTGTAAGCTTCACCTGTTACATAAGCAATGCTGGCCGTAGCGGGGTCAGGGACCCCTACGGCGGTCACGCACGCTCCCCTCACCTTGCCAGCCCAAACAGGCTGGATCCGACCACTGCCCGAATGGACAGAAGCGCGGCGGGAAGGGAACTTATGCGGGGCTCTGGTTCACATGCTATGCGTTCTCTTGTTCAGAGACGATTTTCTCTTCATCTCAATTTCCATGTAAATCGAAGATGCACATAGTCGTAGGGACCAAGCGAGTCCATCGCAAGTGTCGTATTTCAAGTCATATTCACGTCGTAGAACACTCACAAAGGCTTTTCTGTAATATTAGCTGGCGTCTAGTAATTGTTTTTCCCACACCCTGGCTAACAACCAGAGACACCGTGATAGAGTGCACTATTACTTTGATGCACCAAGTCGCATGGTATTTCTCGTGAAACTTTTCAGCTTTGGATTTCTCCGCCGATGACACTTACCCTTGTAGGTAACATACATGGACAGCAGCCAGAAGTGTACGAACAACCTGATTGTAATCAACGGAGATACCCTGGCTTTCAGTACTTATTAGGTGCGAATTTCTCGAACAATCTCATCAACTTATTCCCTTACTGCAAAACATCAGTTCCATTACCCGACACACGTCAATTCACCGCGCGCCATCATAATAGCCATCTAGAACAAAACATATCACAACCTACCACAATGAAGATTAGTGCCGCTTTCATCCTCGCGACAGTTGCCGTCAGCGTCTCGGCGGGCGGCCCCAAGAACAATTCCCCTCGGTTTACGGGCTTGAACAAGATTCCCGACAATGAGCCACTGCCTCTCCACCAGGCGCCCGACTGCTACCAGAGCTGCTTCCAGTCGGCGAACCACGCACTCACTGGGGACATCAACACCGTGAACCAGAGGGAGTTTTGCGAAGACAAGTGGACGCACTTTGATTGGTGGTTTGAGACCTGGTTGATGGGATGCGTCGTACCGAGCTGCCCCAAGGAGGATGGCGACAAAGCTCGACGATGGTTCAACTCGATCTGCCGTAGTAAATCCTGAACAACTAGACAGATTGTACAGGGGGGTAGCTCCTGACGCGCAGCGTAGCGGAGCAGCAGGAGCGAACGAAGGAGTTGCGGGCGCAATATCAACATGAGGAAGCTCTTGGCTAATCGCCCGTAGCTTCAGTGATCTTGGCGGATTAGTTGAGTAAACCGGAACTAACATAAGGTTATTCCAGTAGGATGATAAGAAGGGCTTTTGAGGACAGGTAGGAGGGCTACACTCCCGCTGAGGAATGACGGGAATCAGTGCCGAAAGTTTAGCTTCTATTGTAGTTTCACTGGAAAATCTAGAGGTTGAGAAAAATGCTCAAAACTTCACAAGCAACTTTCGGTACACGAAGTAAATCACCGCAAGGGTCCGACATGTATGGGTTTCTGCAAAACCCATCGGAGTTACGTTTCGTTCAGGATATATACACATGTCGGCTACTCACTCGATCTGAACGAGCGCTTTCCTTCTACCACACAGCACATTGCAACCCAGCAACCCAGCAGTCTGGCAGCCCGGAAGTCCGCCAACCTAGCAGCAACACATCTACAACACCGAAAATCGTCAAGCTTATCTCTAATCTATCCAAACCACATATCCCCGATAAATAATTACAAAAATGAAACTCAGCATTTTCTTGTCCGTCGCCATCATCGCCACGAGCGTTAGCGCAGGCAGCCACGGCTGGAGCCGCCCCAAACACCTGGACAAGATACCCCAAGACAAGGGCCTACCCCTTCATCAAATTCCTGAGTGCTGGCAGGGCTGCTTCCAGTCCACGAACCACGCCTACGGCGGCGGCGACTTCAACACAATCAGCCAGCATGACTTTTGCGAGGACAAGTGGGGGCATCTCCGTTCCTGGTCCAAGACGTGGGGCCACACCTGCGGCATGATCGAGTGCAAAGACAAGGAGGACGGCTATCGAATGGTCCGCTGGTACAACGCCATATGCACGATTTGAAGATGGCATGATCATGAGTCTTAACGCTGGGGGCACGCGTTGGGCCATGGCTATCAATAAGGGAAGGACGCATAATCCACATCACGCTGTGTTTCGATTTTTCATTGGATGGTTGCAAAAGAAGGGGTAAAGTACAGGTTGTACAAGCCGCATATTTTCGGAAATCGGTTTTCTGGCTTTGGCAAGCTCAGAGCATATGAGGGAACGATGAATGTCTCTGTCATTACCTTATTGGAGTTAGATGGTTTATCTGCTGGTTTACTCGCCCGTATCTTGAACGTATTCATCTTTGAATGCAACCGATCAAACCGCCCTCTACTCTACCGTTTTCTGACCTCGGCGACGGGTGTTGCCTGTCGGACGCAGTCTCACTCCGAGTATTGACCTTCAGTGATAGAGTGCATAATCGTAGGGCAGATAGATGCCCTTCTGAAGGGCACCTAGTGTGGGCGCCGGACGGGCTCTTTTCGCTGCGGTTTGTTGATGGTTGTTTCAGCGGAATACCTCGGCAGCAATGACAACCGGTGCCTGCGAGCTGTGTATTGGACGACATATCAGGCGGCCTTCTGGCTCTCTCGTCGTTGACAAAGGCGATACCTTTTCAGGATATACCAGTTGAAAATGTAATACTTGACAGATTTTACCACTGCCCACTGCATTTGTTGGCTTGAGAGTAATTTGCAGGGCTCTGTTATTCTATTTATAGTACTTGCGCACCTACAGGCCGTTGAATCTGTAGGCACAGGGAAGACCGATACAATAGAATCTATGCTTAAGCTTCAAGGCTGCAAATTTGTTCAGAGAGTCTGGAAGTTGCCCCATTGTCTGTGTATCTCGTGGTTCCATAGTGATTTCTACGTCACCCGTCACGTGTTCGGCGTACTGCGTGTTAAAGGATAAATACCACCAGATATCGCGAGATATCCCCCAGCCAGAACAGAGACAATGCATGGAGACTTTTGGACCGATTGCAAGTACAGCATGCCGTTGCTACCTTGTGCAACTTTGCCATGCCAGCAGAGCCTCACGTTGAATCGGTGGAGAACTTGCCGATCTCTTTGCTTATCACTCACTATTCTTCATCTCGGCTGCTTGCCACTTATTTGCTGAATATTCATACATCGAAGGGACACCATTCACGCGTGTTATCAGATCCACCTTCTAACAAGATGCCGCTGCAAAGTACCTGAACTCAACCCTTGGATGGGAGTTCAAAGACCGCCCATCATTTCAATGGCCACGCAACTCTTCTTAACGTTTCTCCTAGCCAACACACATCCACCAAGTTTATATACACTGCATGACCGGTGGCCCCGCCACAAAGCATCGGCAAGCGGCCTTGACAATATAAATTAAGCATCCAGGTACATCGTAGATGTCTCACCCACAGCAATACATAACGGGCAGAGATTCCTAGGGTGTCTGCATACACAGAACAAAGTCAAAATCACTGTCGCTTTCGTTGAGCAGGTTGGAAAGGTGCTCGCAGGCAAGAAAGGATTCCACCAAGCCATACACATCCCTGCCGTATACATCCCTAGAATACAACATAGAAAACGCCAGATAGCGAAATTCAACCCGTCATTGAACACAGCACCACCAGCGTGTCTTCGTACTTCGCTCCTTGCATCCAGGCTTGCTTTTCAGAGAGAACCTTTCCTTTCCAACTGGAGCCTAACCGGTGCACCAAGTGTATTGTGGTGTGTTGGTTTCCGTTCACCGCGTGCATGCCGAGTTTATATACCATTCGCGATAGACCATGCCCCAAGTGAACCACCTTGATTGTGTAAACAAGGCATCCTGGTACACTCGCAGCATCTTGTCTGAATCAACAAATTGTGCAGAATACATCGCAGGAAAGGCCAGACAGCGAACTACAAACTGTTGTTGAACACAAGCACACCAGCGTGTCTCCGAACTTCCTTCATTCTATGAGACATAACCTTGGCGACTGGGACTCAATGTGCCTACTGTCTTCCAGATGTGGCTAGCCTCCTGGATTTGTGGTGTCTTGGTCGCTGTCCATGGCGCGTAAACCAGATTTATATACACTTCTTCACGGCAGAGAGACCCTCCCTAAGCGAGCCATCTTGATTGTATAAACTAGGCATTGGAGGATCCTATCCGTAACAAATTGACGGTGCAGAATACGGCGGAGAAAATGCTGGACAGCGAACCAGAATCCTTAGTTTAACACAAGCACAGCTGCGTGTCTTCAAACTTCGTTCGTTCTGTGAGACAAGGCCTTAGCGACTGGGACCTAGTGCGATCACTGTCGGTTGGAAATGGCTTTGATTTGCCGTGTCATGGTTACAGTCCATGGCACATAAACCAGATTTATATACACTTCTTCACGGCAGAGAGACCATCCCCCAAGCGAGCCGCCCTCATGGTACATAAGAGGCGCCTATGGGTAGACTCGAGAAATCTGACCAAGCGCAAATCCGTTCCATGTCAATGTTTGCCTCCAGACTACCAGACCTTGGCCTTTGACGAAGTCATGCAAGACAGCCAGTTCCCTGGAGCGACCCTTTTCCACCGGCCCTTAGCGTCGAGATCCTTGTCCTTGACTTTCGTCTGTTGCTACAGTTTTCTCTACCGGTGAATACCTGGTGAGCGCAGGGACACGTAAAGTATTCCGGACTGAGAAGCTGCAAAACCAATTGACCTCGAAAACGCATCATATTTCTAAGATGCTACTCTGTATATAGAATACACACTCAGAACAGTAACAATCCACCTCTTTTCCCCCTATACCCAAAACCAGCCCGACCGACCAACCGGTCACTCATCCAAAAAGTCATGTCAATCATTAATCTCGTGTCCAAAATTGTCTTTATGACTACACCCGCGGAACGCTTTAGCAGATGGCATGCGTTTTGCCAGTCTTACCCTGCAGGGAGTGCTTTTCCTTCTGTAGACGGCAGTCAGCAAGATCCGCCTCTCGCGCACGGGGGGTTGGGGACAAACTCTGAACTTTGGGTGGTTGTGCGACGACTTGGTGCTCGTGAGGTGGTGCTTGTGGATGAAGTCCTGCTGCCGCTTGATGCTCTCCTGGTCCATCTGCTCGAGCAGGCCCATGCACAGCTTGATGTCCGTGATGAGCATGTCGCAGCGGCTCTTGCTAAAGTCCTCGCGCACGACGACGCGCAGCATCTTGAGGTCATTGGTCTTGGGTGCCATCGTGTAAGCCGGAACAACCCAGCCGCGGACACGCAGCTGGTGCGCGAGCGCAAACTCGTCGTAGTTGCGGTCCTCCTTCTCGGGCAGACGGAAGGCGACGAGCGGCAGACCGGCGCCGGAGCGCTGGGACATGATGGTGAAGCCCAGTACCTCGAGGGACTGGGAGAGGTAATCGGCGGTGCGGGTGAGGTTGGACATGATGGCGCGGTAGCCCTTCTTGCCGAGGCGAATGAGCTGGTAGTACTGGCCGATGACTTGGGAGGCACCCTTTGAGAAGTTGAGTGTGAAGGAGGCCTGGTCGGCGCCGAGGTAGTTGATATTGAAGACGAGCTCCTGGGGAAGGAACTCAGCGGCGCGCCAGACGATCCAGCCGACACCCGGGTAGACGAGGCCGTACTTGTGGCCGGAGACGTTGATGGAGACAACGTTCTTGAGGCGGAAGTCCCACTCAAGGTCCGGGACGACGAAGGGCGCGACGAAGCCACCGCTGGCGGCGTCGACGTGGATGGGGACGTCAAGACCTCTCTTCTCGAGCAGGTCGTTGACGGCCTTGACGTCCTCGTACTCGCCGGTGTAGGTGGTGCCGAGGATGGCGCAGATGCCGATGGTGTTCTCGTCGACGAGGTTGACCGTCTCCTCAGGGTCAATGACGTAGCGGTCGGGGGTGCAGTAGACGAGCTTCTCCTCAATCTCAAAGTAGCGGGTGGCCTTTTCCCAGCAGACCTGGACGGCGGAGGACATGACGATGTTGGGGTGCTCGGTGCTCTTGCCCTCGGCCTGGCGCTTGTTCTTCCAGCGCTTCTTCATGGCGAGGACGCCGAGCATGATGGCCTCGGAGGAGCCGACGGAGGACGTTCCGACGGCGCCGCCGTGCTCGCCCTCGCCCTGGGGCGCGTGGAAGAGCTTGCCAATCATGCTGACGCAGCGGTTCTGGATGTCGGCGGACTGGGGGTACTCCTCGTAGTCGATGAAGTTCTTGGGGAAGGACTCGCACATGAGCTTCTCAGCTTCATCTTCCTGGATGTGGGGGTCAGCGTGGGAGGTCGAATGCGGGGGTGGGCCAAGGGGTTTGGCGGCTGTCAGTTCTCACCATATATGTCGTCACGAAGGAGGCCAGGCTGTTTATCGTGTCAGATCTCTGGCGTATGTATGAAGTTACAGGGCTGGGGGAGCTCACTTCATCATGGGGTTGCCGTCGAGGCTGAGCTCGTCCTTGATCATGCGGTAGGCGACGTCCTTGGGCATCTCGTCCTCGGGCATCTCCCGCTTGGGCAAGTCCTGGTTGGCGAAGCGGGAGCCGTAAACGCTGGTGGTGTAGCAGTCCTCGTGGTCGGCGAGCTTGAGCTGGACGTCCTTGAGCTTGTTCATGACCTGGGCCAGGTGGCCGGAGGACGAGTCCTCAGAGCCCGAGTCGGGGGGCGTGGCAACGGTTGCGAGGTGGACCATTTTGAGACGGCGAGAAGGTGTTACGAAGGAAGAGATGAATGGGCAATGTTGTGAGGAGAAGCAGCTTTCGAACGGCGTCGAAGAGGCGGATGAGGGACGACGTTTATAAGAGAAGATGGAGCTGGGACCTTTGGCTGTAGCTGAGTCTGAGCTTTGGGCAGACGAGGCGAGGCGAGACTGTCAAGCAGCAGTGGATGGGACGATTTGTCTGTGAGCGATGGGAGAGCGAGAGAAGGGGAGAAGAGAGGAGAAAGGAGGGCATCGAGTAGTCTCGGCGGAGCCAAGCCAGCTGGACGCGGGCGTGGGCGTGGCACTGCATGCCGCAGGCCAGGTCCAAGGCCAGGTCCAGGTCCAGTGCATCAGGGGGGCAGACAAGGACAGGGCCAGATCGGGATAAGGTGGAATGGGAGCTAAGGTACTCTCTGTGGTGTACGGCATCGCTGGTGAAGCCCAAGCTCCGGTACCCCAAGGCAGGAAAGCTAAGCTGGATACGCAAGTTGGAGGTTGCGTTGCCGTAGTGGTGGTGGTGCGTGTAGCAAGCTTGTAGCTTGCGGCAAGAAAGGCAATGGCAGGTGGGGTGATTGAGCGAACCTGAAGCCGGAAGGCGGGGCAGGAACGCTGACGGCACGCTACGACTAAGTCAGTACATGGGAAGGTGCGGTGTGGCCGGTACGTACATGCCGAACCAGAGCTACCTTACCTCTTGCCTACCTTGTACATCATCGACGATGACATCCACAGCATGCAAGCCATGCAGAAGGGCAGGGCAGGCACTTTCCAACAGCGGGGTCCCAAGTCGAAACGACGGTAGGCCTCCCTGACGAATTTCACCGAGGACAGAAGCTGTAGCAGTACTGTTCCCGCTGAATACATCGGATAACGATACGTGTCCCAGGCCTGCCCGGGAGCCTATCCCAATCAGAGGGGTGGTCCAGAACTGCGTCAGCATTGGATGATTTGATCAAAACACCGATAGCAAGATGGAATAAAAATAACCCCAAAAAGTAAACTCAGCAACGGGAACAGCATATTATCCGCAAATCAGAAAAGCACGGCAAACGAGATGACTTTTCGCCCAGCCCGCGAGACCCGAGTCTGAGTCTGTCTCTCTCTCTATCTCTCCTGTTTCCAGCAGAACCCGAAAAGCACATGTTCCTCGTCTGTTATGGGCGAACATCCCAATGTGCCCCCTAATCCTCTCTCCCAGACAACAGAAGAAGGACGAGGAGAGGAAAGGGCGGCCTCCTTCAATTCCCTCTCTTACTCTCACAGCTGCCCACGTCTCACTACCCACATGCCTCACCCCCCTACCACTCCTCCTCCAACCAACCGGATGAGGTGCAGCTGGGAAGCTTTCCCCAGGTCCCAAGCCAAACATCCCAACCACGCCCAGCACCCAGCACCCAGCACCCCCAAAAACGCGCTACGCTCAAAGCTTGGCACGGGTTGACAGCTTCGGCTGGCCCACCACTGCAACCGCCCACCCGCCCCAGCAGGTGCCGCCCTGGAACGAGCCGCTCCCACCCAATCACCCCCCGTGCCGGTCTTCCGCCACAGCGGCCCTGGCCCCGGACCTGGGACGCCGCTTCCCCCCTCCCTCCACCAACGATCACCGCCGCTTCGTCAATCACTCAAAGCACGAAAAGAGCCGTCTCCTCCAGCAATATCCATCGGCGGGCTCAAAACTTCTAAAAGGATAACACGGCTCGGATGTCAATGCCTAGCACCAAAAACCTCACAGCCACTCGAAACATCAACCCAAAACATCTCACTTAGGGGGTGGAAAGAAAACAAAGTCCACGGCAATGCATTTATTTCCCTCAGAACGACAAATGACATCACCACCACCCGTTCATCCACCCGTCAAGCCTCAAAAATCACCTCAGCCCATTTCGTTCCCAATCACCATCCCCCATGTCCATCCCAAATTTCCGAAATGGCATCCTCCGAGAAAAGCAAAAAAAGAAAAAGAGGAAACCAAACCCCGGAATTTCATTCACTCTTCTTCACCGATTGATCCAACCCCCAAACGCCCGCAAATATCCGTAGACCCCCCACGCATCACCCCGACGCCTCAACCTCCGTTGTCCGCTGTGGCTTAGCCCCCTCAAAGCCGCCGACTGTGGTTCGACTTTGGCTCTCGTAATCTTTCGCAACCCCCTTCGGAACCACACCTTGTGCTGCCCATCCCATTTCTCGGTGAAGGAGAGTCCGACCCGGTCAGGAAAATTGATGCCCTACAAACATATGAATCTACTTATCTCCTGTTCGGGCCGCCTTGCCCCCTTTTGCCAGCATTTTCTCTCTTACGAATCATCAGACGGGCCTTACTTTTCCGCTTCTCGCCAGCGTAACCGTTGCTTCTGGTTTCAGCTCCTTCATCCCGGTTCGCCCGAGCTTCATCTCGTCTCCTTTTTTCACTCGGTTGAATGACAGGCGAGAAGCTCCGTCGGCTTAGGCCTCAGGTTCACAACGACGCAAACAGGCGAGCCTCTCTGTCACAAATACCGGCCATCTCGCTCCAAACAGCCATTCTGCTACTCACTGCTCGCTCTTTCTAGAGATACTCTAATCCAGGTCTAACCACTGCCTGGTATCATGATTGATCCCCTAACTAAACCAGAGTGAATCCCGATGTCTAATCTTAACACATGCATGTTGGCCGCCTCGAAAGCCGCCATTAGCCCAATTTCATAATCCTGTAACCCATTCGTCAATAGCCATTGCCTTGTCCTCAGCCCTCCGTGGTGTCCATAGAATCACCCTGCACCTTGGCCTTGGCAGCCGCTATCTTCTCGGCCTTCCACGCTTCAATCTTGGCCTTCAGCTCAGTATGCGGGATCGCGTCGTCTATCGTCATCGCTTGCCGCGTGAACGGGTCTTTGGGATCAGACAGCAGATGCTGGACAATAGTCGAGCGATCCACAATGTGCTTCGATGGCAGGGTCACAGGGTCCTTCATCAGATCGCCCATGATGGGGTCCTCGAACTCGGCCGGGATGTCACCCAGGTCGAGCTCTGCCTGCTCTGCTATCTCCTTGGCTTCCTTGAACTTCTCCTTCAGGGTGTTGAACTTTTCCATATCCTCCGTCTCCTTCATGGACCTCTTCGACAGAATATAGCTAGCCTTGTCAAAGTTGGCCGGCTTGTAGGAGCGACCGTCCGAGGCGACAGCTTCGATGAAAGCCTGCGAGGAGCCAAGGTTGAGGTAAATGTCCACGAAGTCCGACAACAGCACTCGGGGCTGGAAGTGGTACTTTTGAGGATCATTCACCTTCAGCTGTCCCATCTTGGGGCCAGCCAGAGTGTCCAGGTTGTAGTTCAACATGCTGGCCAGGCGCTGCACGATCTCGGGCATCGTAAATGCAGACGACAGGGCAGATGTGAATAGCTTCATCATCGCCAATGTCTCGTTGGCGAGCTGCATGTACGACGTGGCCTGGTTCTCAAGGCCCGAAAGCTCCTCTTGCTTCTTCTGTCTGTCCTGAGCCGACATGGTCTGGTCAGCCTCCAGTTCATGCTGGAGGTTGTGGATCTTGGGGAATTTCGTCAGCGCCTCATCGAGAACGTAGGTGGCATCGTTGAGCAGAAGATTGACGAATTGCACAAAGAACTGTCGATTGACCCTGTACCAATGTTAGCGGCGTTTCTTGCACCTGTCACACGGCGTCGCCTCTGAGTGTCTTTCAAGTGCCACAACTTACTTGCTCTCTCTGGTGAGCTGCTGCTTGTAGACGTCATTGCCCCAAACACACTTGATGACCTGGAAGATCTCGTATCTGATGTTGAACTTGTCGTAAAACTGAGTGTGAGCTCCGGTCGACTCTGCCTCGATGTAGAACTTCATCAAGGCGTGCAGCAGGTGGTCGTTGGCAAACTTGGATCCGTAAAGCTGGTCGCCGAGGACACCCTTCTTGAAATGCGAAAAGGGCCAGGTTCCGGAGAACAAGAGCGTGACCAGAGACGACTTGAGGTAAGGGTTCTTGATGTACTCGGATGATCGGAGGAAAGCGATACACATGGCAATCATCTCACTGCCGACTGCGGACGGCATGATTTGGGGAAGGTATCTAGGAGATGTTAGCATTCGCAGCTGTACTGCACAGTGATAGACGCACCTGTAGACGAATTTGAAGTTGTCAACGACGTTCTGGAGAGCGTATTCGGGCAAGCAGGCGAATGACGCTGGCGTCTGAGCGGGCAGCGGAAGTCTGAGTGTGGTCAGTGATGGCTCTGAATGCGTGCGAGGAATTGGTAGTCACGGCAAAAACGTACTGAAGATCCGTTGTGTCAGGCTTGTAGTCCGTTTGGCTGGCAAGGCGCAAAAGCCAGACAGCAACGTAGCGCATGAAGCGGAGAGACAACTCCTGCATCTTCTCGTCGAAAAAGACACCCTCTATGGCGTATTTCAACGCAATTGCCTTATTCAGGACCTGGGTATGCCTCTTGAGAGTCACCTCGTACATGGCGAGTTGAGCAGGGTTCTGCATTGGTGATTAGCATTAGCACATGGCATCGACGTTGCCAGGCGGAGAGCTACTCACGTTCACCATCTTGTGACGCTCAGCCTCCATCTTAGCCACATGCGTCTCATAGAACTTGATGTCGCGCTCCAGATTCTTGACCTTTGCATTTGTGGCCTCGCTGCCGTAATGATGAGCGGCGAGAGTTAGGAAGAATACTTCAGAAATGAAGTTGGATGTGCCCTCGGCCTTCTTTTCGTAGAAAGCATCCGACGTCGCTTGGTCGGCGTTGATCTTGGTCTCCTCCTTGATGTCCACGCGAGGGCTCCGTCTGAAGTAGTCGACTTCGATTCTATCAACCTTGGAGAAAGTCGTGTCCATGAACGGCGAGCAGAATCGGTCGAGAATGGCTGTCAGGTTGGTCATGAACCCGTCGGAAGAGACTTCCTTGGCATCAACCTGAATAGCTCTACGCTTCTTGTTGGAGTTGATGGCGGACGCGAACCAGTCAAGGACGCGGCTTCTCGTTTCGCTGTCGGCTCGGATAAAGGCGTTGGCGATCGTGAACAACTCATCTTGGTGTACCCTCAGGATGGCGCGCAGTGCCTCCTGCGGCTGGGCTGCTTGTCTTCTGTCCAATCCTCGGGGGTTTGGGAAGTAGGTGAGCGTGACCTCGGATTGCAGTGGAGAGATCCGGAAGAACGGACCCAGGATGGTTGCCTTCTCAATAAGAGGGCCAGAGTTTTGTGCAGGGAGGAAGTTGGTGTGCTGGGCCAGAGCATTGAGCAGTGGCGGGAACTTGGTATATGTCATCAAGGCCTGGTTGCGTCAGTACAACGGTTCCCATAAGCTGTCGCCCGACGCCTTGCCGGAACTTACATTGAGGTATGGCTTGTAATCGCCATCCATGGACATCTCTGACAACTTAAGGCTGAGGGTGTTGATCGCCTCGGCGAACACCACTGGGTACTGCTCATCCTCAGGGAACCGGTTCACAGCTTCCCGCAGGAAGTCCAGACACACGCCGTCATCAGTGTCGTGACCTCTCAGGAGACATGACGCCAGACTGTCAGGCTGCGATCGGCTGCAAATTGTCAACTTCGGCCACTGTGAATGTCCCGCGATAGCTTACCCAAACAGGTCAGGCAGAGTCAGAGCAAATAAGCAGTTGCTAACACACAATCTCTTCGCCTCATCAAGCACCTCTCTCTTGTCCTTGGCCGTTTCCTTAACCGTGATGTATAGGCGCAGAATGCGCTTGAAGCACGGCAGCAGGAAGCCGAGAATGGACTTTTTGTGGTTCAATGTCGACAAAGCCTCCAGCAGGGCACTGTCCAGAACGCTGGTTGTCAGCTTCAGCGCCGCATCTGACTCCGTCAGTTCGCTGTTCGCCCCCGGCAGAAACATAAGCTTGTGGCCATGGATATCGGTAACTCTGTGTGGATCGACAGTGATGCGGAAAATCTGTGTGAGGGTTCGGTCGGAGAAGTCATCGATGGACTCTTCTTGGACGACAGTCGGGCGCTTCGGAACGGGTGCTGGCGTGGTCTCACTCTTAGCGGCTCGCTTCTGGCTATTACCCTCGTTCGATTCGGCCTTGACTCCAAGCTGATTGAAAGGGTTCGGCTTCGGTGTCGATGACGAAGTGATGTTGATCTTGCGCGGCTCTTCGGCGAGGCCCTTGCCCTTCTCTTCAGTTGGTGTCGAGGCGCCCGAAGCTCCGGGATTCGGTGATGTATCGCCCTCCGGCTTGGGAGAGGTCCTGGCGGCAGAACCGAGCTTGGCCAGACGTCGCAACCGGATCTGCACAGCACGAATGGTCAGCGAAAGTTCCGACTTGATCTTGCCCCATGCCCGCGATTGCGTCTTCGTCCTCCGGGCTTGTGCCATCCTGGTGTCTCGATGTGTAGCTGTAACTTCGTGATTGCAGGAAAGAACGGCGCGTCAGGCGGTAGGGATCGATTGGAAGAGTTGACGAACAGGCTATCGGCGACTTCGATGCAATCTAGGCGGCCGGGCTCAATCGAGCTGCTTGGCGATGTTGGGTAAAGGGCAGCAGGGTCGCCGGCATCGTGGAATCGGGTTCCGAGATCGAAACGTTGAATCGGTCAAGGCCGTTTGGAGGGGACCGACAGAGAAGCTCTCAAGGAGCTGCGCAGCAACCAAATCAAATCCATAAGAAAGCTTACCTCGTTCATCTTCGCCGTGTCAGGCGCATCTGGTGCCTGGTTCTCGTTGGGATCCATCTTGTCGTCGTCGGTCGTCTGAAGACAGTAGGACTACAAGCAGCGTACGAGGCAGGTGTGCCTATCCCAGGTGGTCCTTGGGTGCACAGGAAAAGGTTGTGAAATTGCCGACGCCTTGCACAAGGCTGAACGAAGCTGGATAAGGTGCAGTGTGGAAGGTGAGGCCGGTGAGGTAGCTCAAGGTGGGCTGCGTTCAGAAGTGTTGACGTCCAGCAGGGCCTTGCAGTGGTGGGGAGGTAGTGCGGCGGCGGCATGGAGGTGCACACCAAGCGGTGAAATGTGGGGTGTGGACCAGTTAAATCCGACAAGGGCGGCCAGGCACCCAGCTTTCTCCGATTTTTAGCGGATTGTCTACTGGGAAATGCAAAGTCCACCACCAAAGTCCGCTGATGAGGTAAGGCACCGGGTTAGAGTGAGGGAAGGTGCACCCTGAACCTTCATTAATAATCTGGTCGCAGCTGCCTTTCATGCTTGGTTGCCACTGCTGGCTTTCCAAGGGTTTCTACACAAAAAGATAGCCAGCTACCTAGCTGGCTATCTTTTGAGGCACAAAGACTGAAGATCAATGGGGTCTTTCAAAGACGTCTCCGAAGGGGTTATGTAATTACCTAGACCCCAAGACTTCTTGTTTCCTGTTTCAAGCGGCTTTGAGACCCTTAGACCCTTAACAGATGATGCTCGTAGACGTCTGCAACTGCTTCAGATGAACCTACGCCGAAAAGAAGCCCATTGGATGCGGCCTGCATCAAGGTTTCTGATAAAACATCAACAGCGTCTAGAAACATGTTCCAAATATGGCCCACTTGGCTCACTCATCCGCATCCAAAAATCACGATATCGATTCAATTACTATGTGCTTCGAGGCATCCAAGACCTGCTGTAGCTTTTGGGATATAGCAACCTTTGTACGTGAGAACCAATTTTGTTTCAAAGGGCGGCCCGCTGCGTAGAGTGCCTGCCCCAAGGGTATTTCCGTGCCCAATCCGTGTCGTTGATACCGTGGGTCCCTCCAAAAACGCCTAAATATCCAAACAAATATACTCGTACACGAGCTCGCGTGAGGTGCAAAATATGTGGCCGTCAAATCAAAGCTAAATCGTAACAAGTTGCCGTGGCTCGAAGGTGTGATGCGGTGGCCTACAGGCGGGGTATACCGTTCGACCCGTCACTCAACCTCCTCGACGACGACGACGCCTCTCCGTCGCTGTCCGAACTGCCTCTCGTGCGGCTCGTCCCGCTGGCGGTCCGATTTGCCAGCCGGCTGCGCTCAACCTCCTCCCGGCTCTTATTCATAAGCCAAGCCATGTGCATCTTGAGTATCCCCAAGGTGCTTCTGAGTTCCGACATATTTTCTTTGATAGGTATGACGTGGTTCAGTACCATGACCGTCTGTCGACCCTCGAGGTCGGTGAAGTCCTTTCTAAGTTCTTCCATCCGACGCTCCATGTCTTCGTAGATGCTCATGACTGCTTCCGTCGGTTTTAACTTGGGCCCGCCCTGGACGTTGTTCAGGTTGAACACGTCGTCCCACGACATGCAGTCCCGCCTCTCATCCTTGAGTTCCAGAATCTGTCGCTCTTGTTCCTCCTTCACCTTCTGGAGTTTTTCAATCTGCTTCTCTTGATTCCTGACCTTTTCTCCGACGACAGCGACAACCTTGTAGATGCATTCATCCTCGTGAGCAGCAAGTGTTTTGCGAATCGCCTCGTGGTTGCAGCCGTAGTCGCCGTATTTGCACGCGGCAGTCACCTCGGGGCACTGATCTGCGAGATGCTGCTTCAATTCCGACACCCTGATCTTCTCCCCGCAGTCGGCGCAGGCCGTGATATTCTTCGGGCAATCTCTGATGACGTGGTCCGCCATGGATGCCGCCTCCATCTTCTCCTCGCAATACTCGCACGCCTGCTCAAAGTGCCAGCATTTTCCGGAGGCCGCCATCCACTGCTCCACTCTCCTATCGCACGTCTTCTCCGGACAATCCTGCAGCGTGTAGCGACACCCCATCGCGTGCCTGACCACCTCCTCGCGTTTCATCGTCTCGTCGCATCCCCTCTCGGCATTGGGGCAGTTTACGACGAGGCTGTCGAGCATGTTTGTCAAGAGCCTCGATGTCTTGCAGTCCTTGGCTCGGAACCTGGTCCGGTCGATGGGGCAGGTGTCGGCGGAGAAGAAATGGCGCTTCAGGCATTCGAGGCAGAAGGTGTGGTCGCAGGGCGTGATGACCGGGGTGATGACGGGGAGTTTGCAGATGGGACAGACGAGGTTGTCATCGGGCTCTTCGACGTACATCAAGGCGGAGAAGTCGACAAGCTCCTTGACGTTGTCGGGACTGAGGGAGTGTCGTATGGCTTCTCGCACGGCCAATTCCTCGACAGGCCATTGAGTGGGGGCTCGCGCTTGTTGTGGCTAGTCAGCGTGTCTTGTCCGGACCATCATCTCTTTGTCTGCGAGTCTCAACTTACGCGTAAACGGAATTGGAACGTCCTCGACAGATCGGACAGCCTCTTCGACGAGGTTGTGGACGAGATGGGTGATGGTGGCATCGTCCTCGGGGGCGGCGAACGGTGGCTGTGTTGGTTGTTGCGACATGGTGCTGACGGTGGTTGTTGTCGTCGACTTTGGATCAGAAGGGGGGTTTCGAGGTGGCAGAGGAGATCATGATTGAAACTCTGGCGATGGAAATTTATCGCAGTTGCGGTGAGCGTGTCCGAATCGGAAGTGGGTGTTTTCGTGGGACCGCTGGAGGCGCGGAGGAAAGGCAGAGTTGTGGAGGAGGTTTACAGTTGAGGCCCAATACGGAGTGGATGGAAGGGAATCGGCAACGAGTGAGGTGACGTCCAGCCCAGTGGAGGGCTTCCATCAGTCATTTAGGCCGAGGGTCCGATAAGCACTTCAGCCGATAACGCTACTCACCCTCGCAACCACGGAGTGCCAGTCCGCCCAGTCAGCCAGTCCAGCACGGGTTCAGGTCCTGAGGGCAGTCCCGGTCAGGGTCAGGTGCAGGGCATTGGAGGAAACGGCCGCTAAAACACAGTGTTAGTCAGCACCCATGGTGGGAAGGGGCACCGTCCCCGCATTTTCTGGGCCCCGGCATTGACCAGCTCTTTTTCTGCCGGGAACACCAGAGAAACAAACATTCCCATGGCGAGCATGACATAACGTTGTCTCCAGCAGCCCTCGATATGGGCAAGATGGGATGCACTTTGTCTTGGACGATGGCGAATGACAGCATCGAGCCACGTTACACGGGCGGAATACGGAGCCAAGACCGCCCTTGCATTTCTGCAGGCAGCCTATTGACTGGTTCTGTCGACCCTTATTCCAGTGTCTCTACCAGAGCATGGAGCGGAATAAGAAAAAAGGATGCTTCTGGATTCCGTCGATCTCATAACCGAACCTCACCATCGCGGGCATTTGGTGGAGCGATGCCGTCACAGTTATCGAGCTTCACCGACCAGCCCGCTTTGCTCTGAATGTTGGACACATCGAGCAATACAGCATGTCAAATGCACGACCAATTCATTCGTTCCTTGGAGGATCTCCTGTCTGATGCTCTCTCATTCTCGACCGAGGTACGGCACTGTTCATGCGCGACCACTAGCTGAAGGCAGATCTTACCCGTCCTTAAGGGTGTAAGATACAGAAAGCCCAACATGAACCGCAAGGCTGCCTCGTCCCTCCTGATTAACTACCAAGTCAGCGGCTAACAGTACACAGGGAAATCATATGACGAGCATGCCCATCCAGGCATCCATATTCTCTCTCCAACTCATCCCCGCAACTGACGACCCCAAAAACGGGACCGTCGTAAACGCCTGCTTCATCCACCTGTATGACCTGCATATCGCCAACCCGCCATCTTAAGATATTACGTGAGACCTCGCCTTTCCACACAACACATCCAACAACACCTACCTTCCCGCCCGTTCAGCCCCTCAGACAAGGGGACACAAACCCGAAATGAGTCGTTCGTACTTTTTCGTCCTCGCTGGTTGGCCAGAGGGGAAACCGGCCAGCAAAGGCAAGCTGCATTTCATGCAAACACCCACAGCGCTAAGAGCAACGCCAACCGACCCGATGGATGGACGACCCTGAACCCCGAAACCCTGCGGCCTCACTTCAACCCCCAACCTCCGACGAGAGCCTGTCTATCACCAAAGACCCAAACCAAGCGCGAGCTGCATCAAACTACGACTCTCACCACTTAACCGAGCCGCGCGGTCGCTCCGACGTGCAGACGACCCCATCACCTTCATTCGTCGCCTTGCGAGGGTGATATTCAATATTAAACTCTCGGCACGTTTACAACCAGGAAAGCGGCCAGTCGCGCGGTGGTACAGCGGGAGCTATCGCAAGCGCGTCAGCCCTAGCTAGCACATCATGCCGGGGGGGGGGGGGGACTTGCAGCTCTAAGCTGATGGTGATGGAGGGTTGGCAAGCTGTACAGCTGTACAGCTGTACGGCTGAGCTGTTCCGTGAAGAAAAGCAAGCCATTTAAACCCAGCCAGGCCTTTGTCGATGAATGCTGAAGACAAGTCCTCCCCTTCTCCAGTCATTCATTTCCTAACCTTCAAACAACCAAACCACCACGAAACCCATCACAGCCCTTCCAACATGGCAACCTACGGCGACCCCCCACCACCCCCTCTCCCCTCCCCATCCGCCTCCAAATCCCGCAAGAAAGCGCCCCAGGCCGTGCTCTCCGACTTCTGGGCGTCCTTCCACTCAAAACACCAGGGCAAGGTGACCTCCATCTTCCCCCGCGCCCTCTACGCCTCCCTCCTACCCACCGACCCGTCCCCGCGCGACGGCGCCTCCTCCTCCCTCAATGCCGCCCGCTCCTACGAGGCCGCCGCCGCCGACTGCCGCGCCAAAGTCAAGCGCATCGTCCGCGAGTGCGAGCGCACAAACGAAAAGTTCACCGACCCAGACTTCGACATCGAGCACGACCCGGAGTCCAACTGCCTCAACGGCCTCGTTCGCGACGACGACGGCGGTATCGGCGACGCCTCCGGTGCCGTCGGCGTCAGCGCCTGGGACGTCAAGAACTCCCTCGACACTTTGACGGCTGCGCAGGTCCTCGGCCCGAACTCCACCATCCCCATCGACCCCGCCGCCGTGTCCCGCTTCCTGGGCGGCGCCGGCGACATGTGGAGCCCGTTCGGCAACATCTCCACCTCCAACCCCAACTCCGGCGCCGCCAAACAATCCGCACAGAATCCCCGCACTCGCGGCATCAGCAGCTCGCGCGGTGTCAAGGGCTGGGAGTGGTACAACCCAGGCTCCATCCACCGCGTCGACTGGATCTTCGAGTCGCCACAGTTCACCGTCAACGGCTACTCCTCCTCGGACATCAAGCAGGGCGCCAACGGCGACTGCTGGTGGCTCGCGGCCGTCGCGACCATCGCGCACCGCCGCGACCTCATGACGCGCGTCTGCGTCGCCCGCGACGAGGAGTGCGGCGTCTACGGCTTCGTCTTCCAGCGCGACGGCGAGTGGGTCTCCGCCGTCGTCGACGACAACCTCTACCTCAAGGACAACGACTTCGACTACTACTCGGACGTCTACGACGCCTCCGGCAAGAAGGCCCGCCTGCACCGCAAGCGCAACCAGACCGGCAGCGACGCGCTCTACTTCGCGCGCTGCGAGGACCAGAACGAGACCTGGCTGCCGCTGCTCGAGAAGGCGTACGCCAAGGTCCACGGCGACTACGAGGCCATCTCGGGCGGCTGGCCCGGCGAGGCCGTCGAGGACATGACGGGCGGCGTCACCTCCACCATCGCGACGAACCGCGTCCTGCGCAAGGACAAGCTCTGGCGCGAGCTCGTCAACGCCGACGGCGAGTTTGTCTTCGCCCTCGCGGCCATGGGGACGGGCTGGGACTGGCAGAAGTCTGGCCTCGCGCTCGGCCATGCCTACTCCATCCTGCAGTCGCGCGAGGAGGTCGACGAGGACGGGAAGCGGGTGCGCCTCGTGCAGATCCGCAACCCGTGGGGCGAGCGCTCCGAGTCCGGGCTCGGCGAGTGGAACGGCCCCTGGTCCGACGGCAGCAAGGAGTGGACGCCGTACTGGCTCAAGAAGATGGACCACAAGTTCGGCGACGACGGGCTCTTCTGGATGGCGTACGAGGACATGCTCTCCACCTTCATGTACATCCACCGCACGCGGCTCTTCGACGAGAAGTGGACCGTCGTGCAGCAGTGGACATCCGCCAACGTGTCGTGGGTGACGGGCTTCCTGCAGACAAAGTTCGTCGTCGAGGTGAAGAAGGCCAGCACGGCCGTCATCGTGCTCACGCAGCTCGACGACCGCTACTTCAAGGGCTTCGAGGGGCAGTACTACTTCGAGCTGCACTTCGTCCTACAAAAGACAGACGGCAGCGGCAACGCCTCCGCGGAGCCCGAGCAGATCTGCCGCGTGCGCCCCGTGCACAAGTGGGAGAACCGCTCCGTCAGCTGCGAAGTCACCCTCGACCCCGGCACCTACGAGGTCCTCCCCAAGGTGACCGCGACGCGGCACAACGCGGCGCGCACGGTGGAGGACATCGTCAAGGACTACGCGGAGCGCAACCCGCAGAAGCTGCGGCAGGTGGGGCTGCAGTACGACATCGCGCACGCCAAGGGCGGCGTCGTCGACGAGGACGAGATCCTCGAGAAGAAGAAGGCCGAGGCCAAGAAGAAGAAGGGGGACAAGAAGGCCAAGCGGAAGAGGAAGCAGAAGAAGGCGTTGGTGGTCGCGGCCAAGGCCCTCGAGGAGAGCGCCAAGGTCGTCTCCGAGCTTGCCGAGGGCGGCGACAAGAAGGATGACAAGAAGAAGGAGACGCCCGCGGCGGCCAAGAAGGAGGAGGGCAAGGAGAAGGAGAAGGACGGAGACTGGACCGAGGTCAAGGACTCTGACAAGGAATCCACCGGCAGCACTGGGCTCAAGTCTCCCCCGCCAGAGGACAAGCCCGCGACGTCGCCATCGACTGCTGGCGCTAAACCGGGCGATGCGCCTGCCCCTGAGCCAAAGAAAGACGAGGACAAGAAGGAGGAAGAAAAGAAGGACGAGAAGAAGGAGGAGGCTTCTGAGGAGGCCAAGCCAAGTGAGACCGAGGAGAAAACTGAAGATGCCGAGGTGCAGACAGAGGATGCCCCCGTTGAGGCTGTCGAGGAGGAGGAAGAATCCGATTCCGACTCCGAGACCGAGTCTGTCGTCGATGACGGCGAAGAGCCCGTGAACCCACCTTGGAACGCCGTCTGCGTTCTCGGTCTCCGCGTCTATGCTGAGGATCCGGAGGTGGCCATCAAGCTCGTCAAGCCGGCCGATGATGAAGAGGCTTCTGCGTTGACTACTGAAGGTGAGCCCGCTGGTGCTACCGCGTAGATATGTGGCATGATTTGATGAGATATGACGGGAATGTAAGCGATGATTGCTCACTTATTGTATTGGGCGGATGGGCTATAGATACAATTAATCTAGTTTCCTCTCTATTGCAATGTGCCCCCTTATCATTTCATGTCAAAGTCAAGCTTCGCCCGTTTCTCGTGACACTGCCTCTCCAGTGCTCCTCCGTCGCTGGCATAGTGCGCTAGGTTGGTCGCGAGGTCTGCCCACGTGTGACACTCTTCGTATCTCCTTTCGTTGTAACAGTCCACGGCCTGGTTGAAGGCCGTCGTCGCAAGCCACTCCAGCTCTTCTGTGGGATAAGGGTTCGGGGTCTGGTGGTCCAAAGTCAGTCACGTCTTTCGCATAGCCTCCCAAACGCTCACCTCTTTGGCACTCTTGGCCACTCCGATGGCCTGTAAGATGACCTTTTGACCTGATTCCGCGTCTAACAACCGTACCGCTTGAAACATGCATCGCGTATACTTGGCTAATTTGTCGCACTTCATGCTCTCAAGCTCCCAAATCTCATTGACGACGATTCCCAGCGTTGAATATAATTCTGCAAGATTGTTAGCCAATGTTTGCAGGAGTCTGGTTGGCCGCTTACTGTCACCAGGTAGTTTGCCCCCCAGCGCAAGATCGCCAATTGCCTTCCACGACCTGACATCCTTGCACGGCCTCGCGAGCTGAAGAATTTCTCCCAGGCCGTTGTAATCTTTTAGAGCCAGCGCTGCCTCGAAATCAAAAACCAGTAGCGCCGCGAGTTTAATGTTCAAATCCTTCTTCGTAAGGGCGTCTGCTGCTGTGGCTTGCACCTGGAAGAGGCAGTCGTACGCCTTGACGTGCTTCCTTGCATCCAGGTAACACTGTAATTGCTTCTCCGTATTATCTTCTGTTCGAGCTATTGAGATCTTGCCGGCTGCCATGACGAAGTGACTAAACATGGTACGGAAGCGGAGATCAACCATTGAGTCCGTGGGTAGATCTGACGGATAATGGTTGATGATTTCAAGACAAGAGGCAAACAGCCGCAAGACAGGATAAAGGTCCCAGTTTGACGAGTTCTTCAGGCCAAGGTTGTAGGCGTTCTGGCAAAACCAGTCCAGCTCCATGACTGTAAACAAACGATTTCCTTGCTTGTCCTTGGGGTCTCTTTGGACTGCTTTGGCAGCTTCACAACGTCAGTCGCGCCAACTCCAATGCTGAAAAATGCATACCTTGTTCGAACAAACCAGCCACGTCTTCAATACAAGCATTCCGAGCTGAGCCCTTCTCTCCCTCCACAGCCGCCACGGCTATTCGAATATTGCTGCGAAGCAGTGCCGGTAGATGTATCGGGGAGTCTTCGTTGAATTCATGTCTTTCGAGAAGCTGTTTCATGGCCTGCCCGGCGCAGATCTTGTTTCTAGCCCTTTGCGCGTCCAGAACACAGGCATAGAGAAAATTGGGGTCTTGAGCTGCTCCCGCTCCTATTCGCTCCAGACAATCCGCCGCCAAGTCATGATCCCCAGATTGGAGTGCAACCTTATACATGAGGTACCGCGTCATGGTCTCGTTCCGTGCCGATCCTGGCATCTCATGGAATATTTGTCGGGCTCCCTCGGTATTGTTGCGATTCAGGGCGCAGAGAATGAGCTTCCTGCGGCTGTCAGCATAATCAGTTGGCAGCCTTTGGCCATGCATACCTGCAGAGTCTCGACCTGTTAGCAGGTCCTCCATTCTCAAATATGGATTGCAGCGCGATCCGACACCAACCCTCGGCAAGTTGAAAGTGACCTTGGTTGTAGTTGACCTCGATCTTCTTCCACATAATCTATACAATGTCAGCCACTGAAGGGGAGTTGCAGTGAAGTACTCACAGTCAGAGCTGCAACGGCGGCAGACGCGCCAAAAGGCTGCGTCAAGTTTTCCTCTACACCTCGCAACACATTCATCAGCTCATCGATAGCAAGCTCGCTGTCCCTCTGGCTTTCCTCCATCCATAGTCTCAATAGCACGAGCCTTTCCACCCACTCGTCTCGTCCCGAAGAAACAATATTGCTCTTCAGCATCCCATTCACCATACGCAGGGCCATTGACGGGCTTTTGTCATGAAGCTTGCGCGAATGGTGAATGAGTAGCTTGAAATGTGCCTCCGAGAAGTTGAACCGCTGCACCATGTGCTTCAGGATATCTGCATACGCCTCGACGTCGAAAACCTCCGCTGGCGCTTTCTGCAGCAACTCAAGACGAAGCAGCAGCACGACCGGCTGCTCTCCAATCTCTTGCTCCACGTAGCTGACCAAATCATGCGCCTTCTGCGAGGCCTCGGACGTGTTCATCCCCAGAAGGGCGTGGATATGTGCCTGGCACACGGAAAGGCGCAGCTCGAGCGCATCCCTTGGCAAACGGTCGAGCTCCTGGCTGTTGATGATATCGTACGCCCGCTCGAGCCACTTGACAGCCATTTTGAAGTCGCCCTTGTTGCAGAAGTCCTTGCCGATTTCGAACAGAACCTCCGTCAGCAGTTCGGCAGAGCCGGGGTCGAGCGTCTGGATCGTCGGCTGGCCCTTGTCGTACATGAAGTCGGCGACATTGAGGTTTCCCTCCTTCCAGCACTGTCATACCCCCCAGTTGTCAGTGAACGTAACCATCTTCATGATCAAGATGCTCACCATTGCGGTCCGTAGAATGTAGTACTCCGACTCCAACCTCTTGCACTCCGCCAGATCGTCAGGTCCCAGCATCGTCTGCGTCAGTCTTCCCAGGAGGTCGCTGTAATTCGAAGCCTTCAGATATACCATGTTGGTAAACTTCGCACCGCAATCATCTGTGCCCTTGTCAGAAACCTCATCCCGTCCAGCGACCAAACCAAAACTCACCAAGGCACATCCTCCCAGCCTTCAGCGCCAATCTCATCAAATGCACCACATCCGCCAGCGGCATCCAGTCCTCCGGCCGCGCATCCTCCGCCACCTTCCAGAATCTCGCAATGTCGATCATAAAGAACGCAAACACCCGGCCCCGAAGCAAGAGCCTCTTCCGCGTCGGCGGCTCCCCGGGCATCTCGTCGCGGCGGAGTCTCATGCAAAGGTTCCATAGCTCAGTCCCCTTCCGATCCAGCTCATTTCTCTGGCTCCTGGACTTTCCTCGGGGGAGATTGGGGAAGCCATGGGTGTTGTTGAGCTTCTTCATGAGCTCTTCGTGGAGTGTGTCGATTGCTGGAGGATCTCGTGCTTCGGGGAGACGTTTGAGGAGGTTGTCGGCGAAGGCTTCGTGGGTCAGCACACGGATGGCAGGACACCAGAATGATATCACGAACCTATGAGCTGGGTCGTCTTCCCGGCGCTTTCTGGTCTGGGAATGTTTCTCGACGTCGGTCTGGGAGAGTCCCACTGCCTCGGCAGGTCTCGAGGCATATCGGATACTTCCCCAGGCTCCTAGGGGGTGACGTTGAAAATCGGCCGTGTTGCGATGCAAAATCGAGAAAGAAGCTTGATTGACAATCGGTAGCACTCCGCTGTAGTATTGACCCGTTCGTATCTGGGCGATGATTCGAATCTCAGGTTGAGTATGTCACGACGTCGGACAACAAATTGGCAGAAAGAGAGAAGTCGAATTTTGAACTGGCAGTTGCCTACCGTCCCCGGGAAGGAACGACGAACGATGCACCTTCCTTGCCTCGAAGCACCGAGCCCGGAAGTGGGTCTTCACAGATCGGCCCACCAACCCGGCAAGAACCCCACACCCGTCCGGTGCTTCTCCGATGAACGGCAAAATGTATATATACTGACCTTTCCGTCGAAACTTCAAGGCCCAACGAACAAGTTCCACCATCCAGAAACGTAAAATGCATCCAAAATAAAAGATAATGCCCTGGTATCCTGACGCCGACCCATTTTTTGTTTCTCCAATCCCAAGGCCTCCGCGTCGCCTTCCCCTCAATCAATGCAATGAATTACGGACGGGCTGGAAGATCATTGGGCAGGAAGTTGCCGATGATGAGTGTAGGGCTATTCGACGATTAGGACACGGCCCGCGAAGGCAACTGATGAAAGAGGACAAACTTGCATCTTATGGTTATCTCGTTGAATCATGAATGAAAAGCAGCAGTTAATGACCGGATCCGTCGACTTGTCGTCCGGGCTTTTCAGCGTGCAGGCGGTGAGTAACGTATCGTGAGCGGGATCGAACGCAATCGTCCCAAACTCCTCCCAGTATCGCACCAGAGACTCTTCCGTGAGAATCTCATGCAGAGAGATCTTGCCCTGTACCAAAAGTCAGCCAAACACAAAACCATCGAGTGCGCAGAACCACGCAACATACGTCTCTCAAGTTCTCAACTGGCACATGCAGCAGCTCCGCCATCTCATTATTCCCCCTGAAAATCTCCCCCGTCCGCCTCCAACAGCACGCCGGCACGGCCATGCTCGCAAACACGCGGTCGTACTCCATCAGCTGCTTCTCGAACCACATCTCGACGTACAGCAGCTCCATGTCCGTCAGCGCCTGCGCCTTCTCGCGGAACTTGGGCCGGAAGCGGTCGATCGTGCGCAGGATCTTCTGCTTCGACGACGGCGCGATGTGGCTGTCGAGGTAGGTGCCCAGCCGCGCGTAGCCCTTGACGTAGTTGAACGGCTTCAGCAGCCCTGCCTCGTACTTGGCCTTGAGCACGCGGTCCATGCGCTCCTCGGGCGTGTCGTTGCCCGACGGGTCCGCCGCCTGCAGGTAGTACTCGCGCGCCTTGTCCTTGTTGTCGCCCTGGACGACGCTGCCGGGGCGCGATATCGACTTGCCCTGCTCGAGGTTCGGCGGCGGCAGCATCTGCGACAGCGCGTTGGCGGCCGTGGCCCTGTTATTGGCGGCGCCGTTGTTGTTGCTGTTATTGCCGAAGGTGGGCAGCATGTCGTTTGCGCCGGCTGACCTGCTGAAGGCGGGGCTGTTCTGGGACTCGTCGGAGAGGATGCCGCCGTCATCGAGCAGGCTCGTCTGCAGGAAGTCGTTGAGCAGGTTGAACTCGTGCGTGACCTCGGGGGCGATCATGTAGTTGTTGGGGTGGTAGCTTTGCATGTCGTGGTAGTGGTTCTGCGCCGTCAACCACGCGTCGGAGAATCCGGCGACTATTTTTTTCAGGGGTCAGCTTTCTTCTGCCCCCTTGCCATCGCGGCTTTTTGTTGTTTTCGTCAATTCAGAGACAGGCGCCGCCAAGCGCGCGCATCTATACGAAGGAGAGGGAGGGGTAAGCTCAGTAGCAGAGCAGCAGCCTACATTGGTTCATATTGCTGCCGTTGCCCGGCATGCCAGACACCGAGCTCGGTGACACAAGGTGCAGCGGATTGCCCTGGCCCAAGACAGCAGCGCCAAAGGCAGCGGACGCCTTCCTGTCGAAAGGAGGCGGCGGGCCCATGGACCCGGCCGCGGATTGGTCGATGGAGCCTCGGGCGGCGAGCTCGGTCTGCGTCGACTCGGAGTCGTCGACGGCGGAGGCGGCGTGGGAGCTCTTTGCCTTCTTGGAGTCGGGATCGCGGGGCTCGTCATGGCAGAGGTGGCCAATATTGCGCTTTATGCATCTCGTACACGGTCGTTCCTGGAGCACGACATGGTCAGCAGGCGGTCGAGTTTAGAGATTGGCCGGGCAGGAGGGAGGGAGAGAGCATGGGGGGAGTGGGCCTTTTGGCGCAACGCGGAATGAAAGAGATCTTACATACGAGATCGCAGGTCATATGCTATGTAGCAGGCAAGACACTATCCGTCAGCCATCTTTTCTCTTTTCGCATTGTTATGTTGCTGGTGCTCGCGCAGGGGCACGGCGCAGATGTATGCATGGTAAGGGTTGGCCGGCTGGCGGAGCATCGCACAGCAGCATCGCAGGCGGACAATAGTCTCAGCGCCATGCGCAAAGGCCAGGGAAGCCAACGCCAATTGTGTCCGTCGGGTGAAGGGCAGTCGGACTTACAGATCGCCGGCAATATACGCAAGCTGGGAGGGGAAGCAGAGGTTAGCTAGTGTAGTCACGCGAGCGGGGGAGCCGGCAGAGGGGACACGACGGAGAGCAGCAAACTGCTAGGTGATCGCAAGAAGTGTGTAGACCAGCAGACGTACCATGATTGACCTTGCGGCGCTTCTTGGGGCTCTTGGAAGGCTGAACATGGTTGCCGTTCTCAGGCTTGTCACGCTTCTCCTTGTGTTCGTCTTGCGACTCGGACTTGACGTCCTTGGCGCCGTTCTTATCCATGGCGGGTCGAGGTTCGGAATCAGCTCAATGGGGCTCCCGCTCCCATTGGACCTTTGAGGTTACGCAGAGGCCGAGGGTTCGCAGATCATTTGACGAGGGGTGGCCCTGCGCGTGTTGCTGCGGTTTGCGACTCTGCCGTGGAGGAAGGCGGTTGTTTGCAGGTTCGAAAGGGCAGCGGGAAATCGAGTGGGCGAGGGGGGGAGGCGTTTGCTCGTGCTCGCGGCGCGCGTAGGTATGCGTGTGCGGGCAGCCGGATGGAGGCTTGCTCGTGGTTCGGGTAGCCTTGCTCTGTGGAGTGGATGCTTTGAAAATTAGGGATTCTCGTGATCTGGTCGCAGGCTGCAGTGGTGGCGGACTGTGGGCGCCGGGTAGAGACAGGTTCGGTGAGGACGGGGGACCGTTCGGGGCGGGTTCAAATCGCTCGGTGGAAGAATTTCGCGAGATCGTGACCGGGTTCGACAGCCGAGGGTGTGGCGTTCCTCCCGGGGGGGAGGGGTGTGTCTGTCTGTTGTTGCTGCAGCACGCAGGAATTTGCGTTTGGGTGTCGATGACGCTGATCGGTCCCGGCAAGTTGGATGAAGCTGGAGCAAAGAACAAAAAGAAAAGCTCCGCAACGAGAGACTGTAGGTAGAGTCAGAGTCGAAAGAAAAGAAACAGGAAATTTAAAAAGCCGGAATGGCGACTTGCAAAGGAAAGTGGGCTGGCTAAGGTACGAGAACCACAACGACAACCACGGCTATTCCGTTGGAAAAAAACGAGAGATCAGGCAGATCGGCCACCCGAGTCCAAGGTCAGAGCCGGTCAGCGCTGGGCGCAACCCCCATTGCTACGTTGTGCTGCTTAGGTAGCCCAGCAGGGTCAGGACTCAGTGGAGGCCCCAGGTCGGCAGCGACAAGGGTTCCATTGCAGTGAGGGAGGTCCCTCCAGGTATTCGTACCCTGCCAGCTGTGTTCAAGGCTCGATGGCACGCCATGAAGGGGGGTGCGTCACCGTTCTGGGGCAGGCAAACGGCGGGCGAGAGGCCATCTCACAGCGAGTCCGAAGAGGTACCTCACGGAACCTGCCCGCTGGAAAACCTTCCTCCCTGGGCGTGACCCACTGTGACTGCGGACGAGGAGCAGCAGTGATTGATGAATTGGATTGCTTCGTCCTGTTGGTGCCGGCAAGTGGCTCAGCACTCCCAATTCGCATTGAAGCTGGGCGAGGGTGGATTTGACCACTAATTTTCATGTCATTTGTACATGATGGAAAGCGACCTGCCTTACCTGCCATTGGTAGCATTCGCCGGCGACACTTGCCCAACAGCTAAAGGTACCGCAGGTTACTACCTAGGTTGAGGGTAACGCACTCCTCAACACCAGAAATGATATCATCACTGCCATCAAACACAACCAGCACAGACATCAAATGCAGCTTCCCTAGCCTCGGGCCCTGCCCTGCTCTGCCCTACAGAAGCTACCTGGCTAAAAACCCAGCGATCCGTCAGACCTGTGTCTCCAGCTTCTAAACTTGGGCACACTACCGTCGCAATGCAGACATCAATCGCTGTGCGCACCGACAGCGACAGAGAGACAAGGAACCGCTGGATGGCACAGTGTACGGGGTCAAAAGTCTTGGCTTTTGCCCACTTCCCACTGACAGCACCACTCCGTCCCAAACTCCAGCACATTTTTCCAACTTCTGTCTCCAGTAGCCAAATGCAACAACTTGCAGCAGCGCTGGGGAGGGGTCGCCTGTTGAGAGTACCCAAGGTAGCCGCAGCTAGCGATCGTCAATATTCCCCTCGCAGCATGCAATGTAATGTCAGCATGAAACCACAGCCCGCCATTCGGTCCAGAGCCTTTCACCTTCTGCTGCTGCTGCTTCTCCTCGGTGACGGACGAGTCCCTCGGTAAACATTGCAAAGCTCAATTGCTGCTTCCCTCCCGCCGACCCAAACAAATACCTAACCCCTCATCATCCCATCTTTTAACCTCGTGCCTTCACGGGCCACAGCCTGGACTTGGCGATTTGGGGCAACCTCAGAAGAGGAGCACAACCCAGCCCTGCCGGCCCATCGTGTGATGCTTTTCCGTTTCAAGTGTAGCTCGGAGAATGGGGGTGTACTATGTACCTTGGGGACACCCGCTGCTTGCTGACTGTGTATGTACTGCGTTGCCTATGCGAATTCAATTGCGCCTATCA